CCCCCCCCGCCCCCCCTCCCCCCGCCTGTCCCCGGCAGAGAGACGCTCCAGTCCCTGAGCATCTCCGCAGCCCCCGCCGGACCCTCTCCGTGTCTGTCTTGAAGTGGGGAGCCTCGCACTGGGCACAGTGCTCCGGCTATGGCCTCGCCGGGACAGAGCAGAGGGTGAGGATGACCCCCCTCAACCTCTTTTTAACACACCCCAGGCTACCATTGGCCTTCTTGGCTACAAGGGCACATTGCTGGCTCATGGGCAACTTGTTGTCCACCAGCGATGGGCTGTGGGGCTGCGTGGGGAGGAGGAGAAGCTGAGCTGGGAAAATCAAGGGTGAGGAGCGGAGTCGGAGGCTGCGGTGGGCAACCGGTGCCGGGAGAGCGGGGGGGGAGCCGGAGCACCTGCGTTCCCTTTGCTTTGTTTTGGCTGCTTCTGCCTGTGCAGAGAGGTGGTTGTAACGCACCGAGTAATCCCAAAAAAGGGAGCGGAAGAGAAAAGCAGCCGAGAAGTGAAACACAGCCTGTGTTTAGGAAGTGACTCGGGTAATTCTTTTCCGCAACGCCGGGCCAATTTATGACCTCAGATAAGCAGCATCGGGCGGGGGTCATGCCCTGACGCCAACGGGTTGGGGAAGGGGAATGAGTCACTTTTTGGAGGCCCCGGCGAGCGCTCTGCTTCGGGCTGCGGTTTGGTGAGAGCCGAAGGGTGTAGCTGTTGCCTTCACTTGGGAAAAATGCAAGAAATGACTCTGCTCGTTGGTGGTACCACGGAGCTGGGAAAAAGCATCCTCTGGCCAAGGAGCCCCGAGCTGCTGCTGGGGGGCGGGGGGAGGGGGGAAGGATCTGCTTTTGCAGGGGCATGGGATTTGTGATGGAGGGAGATGGTGGGCGCTCTCTGAACAGCCACAGACCCACAAAATAACTGTGGGGAGATGCGGGAGAGGAACGCGCAGTGCTGCTGTGGTTTAGCGTTTCCCTGCATGGGGGGAGCAAACGCTCTGGCCGCCTTTTGCTCATCGAAATGAGCCAAAGCACTGACCTTTTTGAGCTGGGAGAGCCTCGGAGGCTTCCAGTCCAGCCTGCTGGTGTCCAAGTGCAGGCAGGTCATTGCGTTAACCCCTCCAAGCAGTCAAATTTGATCAGAGAGCGGACCAGGGGCAAGGGGCCGGGGAGCCAGCGCACGTCCTGGTGCCGCTTTTCCCCCCCTGGAGAGGTTTGTTTTCTGCGCCGTGCGTGCCACGGCGAAGCCGGGATAACTGTGTCCTTTGGTGGTGGGGACAGACGCCGCTTGTCCTGTGTTTCTTTTGAGAAGAGCTTCCACCACCCCTGGAGATGGACCCTGGGGGAGGGAGAAGATAAGGGAGCCCGGCACACAAAGTCCCATTGTGTGGCCTTGTTTTGCTGCGCGCGGCAGCATCCCCGGCCCCAAGGTGATGATGGAGAAGCCTCTCCGATGCCTTTTCGCAGGGCAGAGTAAGGCCGGTGGGACACAACAGCGGCAGGACCCCCCCGCTTTGCACAGCCCCCACGAGCCCCAAAGGATGGGAGCAGCATCCCACCATCGGAGACTCGAGGGAGGGGGGCATAAAATTAATCATAATCCTGATGTCCGTGGGAGCAGAGAGCACCATCCCGGCACTGGGGGCCGATGCTGAGGGGAGGCTTTGCCGGCCCAAGGGGCTGTCGGAGCCCTGTGCCGTGCCGTACTGGCATTTTCCCTGAATTCCCCGTCACTGTGGCCTGTAAATAAAGGGATGTTTGTTAGCCGGGCGCGCTGTGTTTTGCCGAGCAGAACAATAAAGAGAAAGATGCTCACAATGGGAAATTGTGCTTCCTCCTCCCCGTGCGTTCCTCGGGGAGGTGTTGATGGGGAGGGGGAAAAAAAAAGAAAAAAAAAATAAAAAGAAGAAAGCGGGAAGAGACGGCGACAGGGCAGGGAGCGACGGTACGGCCGGCGCTCACCGCTCCCGCGCACCATGGGAGCAGACACCGAGGGACGGTGTGGCTGCCGGGACACTGCCCGCCCCGGCACGGTGACAGGGTAGGGGCTGGCTGGGAGCACCCGCTCGCCACGTCCATGGGGCGGCTGTGACGGAGACGGGACGCGGCAGGACGCGCGCTGGAGGCGTTGGATGGGAACGGTGGCTTCCCAAAGGACGCAGCTGGGGACGGTAAGAGGCGCGGGGGCGCCGGGGAGGAAGGGTCGCTCGTCCTGTTGGCGCGGTGTCCTGCGAGGGGACGTCCCCTTTGCACAGTAAATGGCTGTGAGCCCCCAACAGAGCAGGTCTATCCCTTGGCCCCATGGCAGCAAGCACTGCAGATGTCCCCCGCCACATCCTCCGGTCCCCACAGTATGTCCCGCTGCGTGTCCTTGACCCCTGCGCTCTCCCCCAGGCACCGTCCTGTCCCTGGCTCTAAGGATGCACGGGCTTCTCCTGCTCGGCTCCCTCTGGCTCTTGGTGGCACCTCCGGCGTTGAGCATCTTCCAGCGGCCGACAGGGACCCCGGGTAGGGAGCAGGGCCCGGGGGGAGGACGGGGCACTGCTGGTTGGGGTCGGTGCTGGAGGAGGGAGGTGATGCTGGGGGGTCCAGCCAGGGTGAGGGCTGCGCTGGGATCCCCGGGGTTACAGGAGGGGACGGGAAAGGAGCTGGGATGGGTGATGGAAACCAGGCTGGAGACACCAATGTGTTGAGGGGCTTCGGGGAAGGCGTTGAAGGGGTGGTGGGACCATGGTGAGCCGATGCTGAGGCAGCCCCGGGGGTGCCGCAGCCCCCCCACGCCTGCAGTACCTGCTGGAACCCCTCCACGCCGCGGTGCACACGCAACGGGGCGCCACGGCCACCCTGCCCTGCGTCCTGCGCGCCCTGCCCCGCAACTACCGGGTGAAGTGGAGCAAGGTGGAACCAGCCAACTACCGGGAGAACATCATCATCATCACCAACGGGCTCTACCACAAGAACTACGGGCCGCTGAGCCCGCGGGGG